AAGTTCTTGTATTTTCGGCCAAAATATTTTTATTTTTTGTGTTATTTGCGTTAATTTCCTTTCTCACACACCACTGGTAGCCATGTCAAGCCGACCGCCACAAGCCTGACCTTTATTGTAAAATCAAAAACTATACACATACCACGCTAAAACTGGGAAGCTTCCAAAATTACAAGCTTTGTACATCAGTTACATTGTATAACACCGAAATTAAAAAATACAACAAAATACTACTGAAATTCTTTGGGTGGGTGGGTGGGAAGGTCAGTAACGGCGGACGCAACAAAACAACTGCCCGCCTCACCGGTCACATGACCTAAACCCAGGCCCCAGCGGTGTGTGAGAAAAACATTTTCCACTTTTTTTCGTTTCACTCAGCCAGTGGAAAATTACCCTCATTTTGAAATTTTACCTCCTCTTTCACGTTAATTTCCTTTATTCGGAATTAATTTCCCCTCCAATTCGCGTTAATTTAAGTCGCGTTAATTTACCTTAATTAACACGAGCGTTAATTTCCTATTATAAGGTAGAACCTATTAGAACCTATCAGAACCTATCAGAACCTATTAGAACCTATCGGAAACTATTAGAACCTATGAGAAGCTATTAGAAGCTATCAGAACCTATTAGAACCTATCGGAAACTATTAGAACCTATGAGAAGCTATCAGAACCTATTAGAACCTATTAAAACCTATTAGAACCTTCTAGAACCTATCAGAACCTATCAGAACCTATTAGAACCTATCAGAACCTATTAGAACCTATCAGAACCTATTAGAACCTATTAGAACCTATCAGAACCTATCAGAACCTATTAGAACCTTCTAGAACCTATTAGAACTTATTAGAACCTATCAGAACCTATTATAACCTAACAGAACCTATCAGAACCTATTAGAACCTATCAGAAACCTATCAGAACCTATTAGAACCTATTAGAACCTATTAGAACCTATCAGAACCTATTAGAACCTATTAGAACCTATCAGAACCTATTAGAACCTATTAGAACCTATCAGAACCTATCAGAACCTATTAGAACCTATCAGAACCTATCAGAACCTATTAGAACCTATCAGAACCTATTAGAACCTATCAGAACCTATCAGAACCTATCAGAACCTATTAGAACCTATCAGAACCTATCAGAACCTATTAGAACCTATCAGAACCGATCAGAACCGATCAGAATCTATTAGAACCTATCAGAACCTATCAGAACCTATTAGAACCTATTATAACCTTCTAGAACCTATTAGAACTTTTTAGAACCTATCAGAACCTATCAGAACCTATTAGAACCTATCAGAACCTATTAGAACCTATCAGAACCTATCAGAACCTATTAGAACCTTCTAGAACCTATTAGAACCTATCAGAACCTGTCAGAACCTATCAGAACCTATTAGAACCTATCAGAACCTATCAGAACCTATTAGAACCTATCAGAACCTATCAGAACCTATTAGAACCTATTAGAACCTATCAGAACCTATTAGAACCTATCAGAACCTATCAGAACCTATCAGAACCTATCAGAACCTATTAGAACCTATCAGAACCTATTAGAACCTATCAGAACCTATTAGAACCTATCAGAACCTATCAGAACCTATCAGAACCTATCAGAACCTATTAGAACCTATCAGAACCTATCAGAACCTATTAGAACCTATCAGAACCTATCAGAACCTATCAGAACCTATCAGAACCTATCAGAACCTATCAGAACCTATTAGAACCTATCAGAACCTATTAGAACCTATCAGAACCTATCAGAACCTATCAGAACCTATTAGAACCTATCAGAACCTATCAGAACCTATCAGAACCTATTAGAACCTATCAGAACCTATCAGAACCTATCAGAACCTATTAGAACCTATCAGAACCTATCAGAACCTATCAGAACCTATTAGAACCTATCAGAACCTATTAGAACCTATCAGAACCTATCAGAACCTATCAGAACCTATCAGAACCTATTAGAACCTATCAAGAAAGGAGGTCAGGGAAAACCATGCATTGAGTGGCAGAAGTTGAAAAATCGATTTCTTTCATTTTTTGCTCATAAATAATAATTATGTAGAAAAGAAACTTGATGTAGTTAAGAAACTTAATTTCGCTACAGCCATAAAAATTGTCATCCAGTGGATGAAAAATAGTTTTTCTGTCGTTAGAAAGTGTCCAAAGCTCTCTGTATGGTTTGGTTTGCGAACGCGAGGATAGTTTATAGTAGCGAATTTTAGGGTTCAACTTTGAGCATTTTGAGTGTCGGAAAATGAAATCCGATTTTCTTATTTTTCTTTAAAGAAAACGGCTTCTGGCGGAAACAAACTACATCAGGTATCTTTCCTACCTAATGGGTATTTATGAGCAAAAAATGAAGGAAATCGATTTTTCAACTTCTGCCACGAAATCCCGATTTTGCATGGTTTTCCCTGACCGCCGTTCTTAACAGTTCTCCTGTAAAAGTGATTCAATTCAAGTTAATTTGTAGCTTTTGGAAGACCCTTCTATCTATATAAAACGCATTTCAAGAAAACACCCAGTTTATACCGGAGAGACTGCATGAGTTTGGTGCAACATTTCTTTGCCAATGTTTACTCAGATTTCGCAGAATTTTCTTTAGACAAACCATCGTAGTCAAACCAATCTAAACTTCACATACTTGTTTAGATAACAAAACATAATTTTTTTCGCTAAGTAGAAAAATAAAAGCTAAAAATTAAAAAAAACTACAGGATTCGAGAAATGACATGAAAAAGTTACGTGATTCGTGAATTTACAAAAAATCGGCGCGTGATTCAGGATCCAGACCCCCCCCCCCCCTTCCAGACCCTGAACTAACAATACCTAACATAAAATTTCATATTCACGCGAGTAACGTGAATATCTGATGCTTGCGTGCTATCCTATATAGCACGCAAAGGTCAATACACTATCTTTAGCACGTAAACAGCATTTGACGCAAAGGTCAAATAGCTTCTTCTCTGCTCCATTGTTAAACAGTGCGAAAAGTCTGTTTAAAATGTATGTATCGCAATCGCAGTTTAGGGGCTTAAACTCGCTTACACGTCTTTGAAATGGAAGTTCTTGTTCCTTGGTTAAGTTTCCTGCTTGTGGAAATATTATAAAGATACGTTTCTAAAGTATTTTATTGCTAAGCGCACTTGCTAAAAGAAATTCGTCTGTTTTTAAGATAGGAGAATTTATATTTAGGTGTTCCGGTTGGGGTTGGCTGAGTGGGGTACGGGGTGGAAAATCCAATTCCTTGAAATTGTCAAAGAAATGAACCGGAGCATAGTACTTTATTAAACTCGCATACGCGTCTTTGTTAACCATCAGAATGCTAGTTACACACTGACGGATAACAAAATGGATCTATAAGAATCTATACAAACTCCCTTCAAGTAAACTCAATACGCTTATAAACTTCACGTCTTCTAGTCTAGTCTTTCAGACATTCCTCAGATTCCTGTGCTAACAATAAATGTTAACGATAGATGTTAACAATGGAAGATGTTAACAATGGAACAATAGAAATATGACAAGAATGTATCGATCGTCCCTATCACTCTTGAGTCACGTGACTTCGTCACGATGACACAAGCGTAAAAAGGACTCAAAACGGACACAAAACTGACTCAAAACGGATTCAAAACGGACTCAAAACGGACTCAAAACGGACTCAAAATGAACTCAAAACGGACTCAAAACGGACTGAAAAAGGTCTCAAAAAGGTCTCAAAACAGACTCAAAACGGACTGAAAAAGGTCTCAAAAAGGTCTCAAAACAGACTCAAAACGGACTCAAAAAGGTCTCAAAACGGACTCAAAACGGACTCAAAACGGCCGAGTGGGGTCCGGGTAGGAAAATCCAATTCCTTTAAATTGTCAAAGAAATGAACTGGAGCATAGTACTTTATTAAACTCGCATACGCGTCTTTGTTAACCATCAGAATGCTAGTTACACACTGACGGATAACAAAATGGCTCTGTAAGCTTCTATACAAACTCCCTTCAAGTAAACTGGGGTTGGCCGAGTGGGGTTCGGAAAATAATGTTTCGCCTGTCAACTTTTTTATACAAACCATGTACCAGAAAGCTCTTATCAGACATTCCTCAGATTCCTGTGCTAACAATGAATGTTAACAATAGATGTTAACAATGGAAGATGTTAACAATGGAACAATAGAAATATGACAAGAATGTATGGATTGTCCCTATTACTCTTGAGTCACGTGACTTCGTCACGATGACACAAGAGTAAAAATACTATTTAAATGCATTCAGCAATTTGCTCATTCTTGTTCCCAGATCCTCTTTCTTTTGGTCACGTGGTTGGCGAAACGGAGGTTCTGGTCTCAGCCGTTACCGGATGTCCGAAAATTCCGGATATCCATTCATTAATTCGTGTTGCGCATTCATTTTTATCAGCCAATGAAAAAATTCGATTTTTCCTTGCGACCAGGGCTACTCGTTTCCGGCGCAAAGAAAAAAAACGAGGAGCTCTGGGAACGAGGATGCAATTTGCTATGCTACTTGGCAACCTTATAAACGAACACCACGGCTTCGGTCAGTTCTCGGAGATGGGAAGCCTAGTCCCTAGTCGTTCTCTTTCTCTTTCGAGCGAGCGCCAAGTCCACGTAAGGACCTGGGAACCAGTGTCATTCGGTGACGTCATGAAATTTCGCGCCAAATCCCAAATCAAGTAAGCGGGAAGGGAACGCCTGGGCATAGGCTGGGAGATGGGATTTTCCAGTGAAAAAGGTGCTCGTTCTCTCAACTAGAAAATAAATTTATTCATTACTGTTTGTTCTGATTCACAGGTCTGGCTTCCTTTGTTCCCTGGAAATGATGAAAACCCGCCAAATTTTCTCTCTAAGCGAATCATGCTGCCATTTCAACTAAACATCTATCCACTAGGTAAACTTTGAAATGGATGAAATGACTCCTTCACAGTGTTTGAGCAGTTTTAAGCAATATTGATTTTTTTTAGCCTGAAAAAATTTGAACCCATGACCTCCGCGATACCGGTGCGATACTCTACCAACTGAGCTATGAAGCCTTGATATGTTGGGAGCAGGTCATGATCAATTCATCATCTGTCCTTTTCGCGCCATGCAGTGTTGCATAGGACGCGTCAAACGTTCTCCAATCTGGCATGCTCCTGGCAAGCGTTCCCACATTATTCCAACTCTTCCAACTCAAGTCAATTGTGTATACTTTGTAACTATTACAGTTTATAAACACAGGGACAGTTATAACAAAGGCAGTCGACTTACCAATGATTGACAAACCAACGTAAATTTTCGAGTGACAGCGGTATAGCGCGTTTAAGTAATGTATCAAACACGAGAGACAGTGTTTCATCCGGTTTCCAAACACCGAGAAGAGAGTTGAAAATACGACACGCGGCGGAATACCCGTTTTTGTTTGAAATTCAAGGTGTTTGGAAATCAGATTCATAAAACACTGTCCCGAGTGTTTGATAATCTTCTCAAATAAAGAGTAAACGGAGAAATAAAATAATTAAGACCAGGTATCCAAACCTTCCTTATAATAATTATTAATAAGTTTGAGAACATCATGTCGATGTCTTTCCTTCATAGCTGTGTTATTTCAAGATGCGGTGATCCTTGGTGCTGCTAATGAGCCGATGCCTTTGGAATGTACATCACCTGCTCCAACTTCTCTTTCACCGCAAGCCTTTCCTTTCTGTACACTGGAAAGAACGGTTAGACATCAAGCTCAAAATATTAATTCTCCTTACTAGTTACCATACATTTCTTTTAATGTCAGTTCTGAGAATTTGGTGGTTCAGAGGCAAGGCTAGTTCAGTCGTGGAACAAGTACCAGTTGATGACGAAATCCCGCCTCTGAGATGGGACTGAGCCCGCGGTGTTCCTCCCCGATGTTGCTGAGCAACATGACGTTTTGCTGGCGCGATTGCTTTCGGAGTACTCGTGAGTGCTCGTGCTAGTTTTTGATTGGATAAAAAGATTCGGAAACTCTTCGAGTGCTTCAACGAAGATTTGCCAAAACGGCACTTGTTCTGCCGACTGAGTTGATCAGTTTCCATGCATTTATCGATAATGTAAGAAGAAATTATATCATGATCAATTGTGATGTAGTGATTCGTCATGTCTCTGATTCGTATCATAAAGAAAACTGACTGCACTGACTGGCTACTAGAATCGTGTTGAATTATTCCATTTGATTTTAATTTAATTTTTTTTTCTATTAGACTCAGATATACCTGCACCATGTATTGAGACTGCTTCTGCGTCGAAAGTAAGTGTTATTTCCGTTCATTTGTTTGTCTGTGGTGCAATGCACTCTTGAACTAACGGTACATGTAGATGGACGAAGGAACACTCACAGGAACGAACGAACAAACGAGCAACTGGGGAGCGAACGAACGTAGGAACCAATGAACGAACGAGTGACTAAGTGTGGAATTAAGCTTCAGACATTATATGGGAAACTCGTTTGCTAAGAATAGACAATTACATAAACGAGGAAAGGGTTAGGAACGAGAAATTTTAATTTAAAAGTCACCCTACTAAGTCTGAGAGCGTTTGGATAAAAAGCTACTGAATAATAGGCTTTCAAACATTCTCGTCCTCAGAGGCCACGATCCTTTTGGTGAGCACCAAGAATTGGGACCTCTGGCCGGTTCCAACACCGGAAGTCCGCGAATCTCGGACTTCCCGTCAAATCTGACAAATCTGATTGGCTGAGAATGTAGAACGGGTACTCTGCGCATGTTCAACAAATTGGTTCCGGCCAGAGGTCCCGATTATTGGTGCTGACCAAAAGGATCGTGGCCTCTGGGGACGAGAATGGCTTTCAAATATCGTAAAAAGAACAAGACAGAAGAGAGTGGACATATTTCTACCCATACATATGAGAGTTTTTCTAAGTTTTAAAAGTCTGTCTTGTAGTTGCTTTTATCCAGGTGTCTCGGTCATTTCGTTCTGGATTGTAGCTTGTATCTAACTAGTTTCTTTCTCTTTTGATTAGCTTGGGCCAACAAGCTCTGAAGATTGCCAACATGTGTTGCGACCTGCCATACTTTCCTCATGTTCATTCATCAATAACAATGGCGAGCGGTCGCACTTTTAGTCGCTCTGCTTTTTTAGTTCTAGTTTTAACTCTTATCCTGCTTTTTGAGTCTTCTAAACCATTTGAGAGGATATCTAATGGCTCTTCTTCGGTGGTCATTGCTCTTAAAGGAGATCAACGCAGTTTTCCAGGTCGTAATTCAAGTTTGAACCGGCGCCCCAGTGGACTTCGAGTTTCGCCATCTTACAAAGTGAAGGCTGGTATTCTAATGATCAACGCTACGTTAACTGCCTTTTCATTTATCCTGCTTGCTGGGGATGTTTGTCAAAATCCGGGACCCGGCATAAACTATACTGGAGCTTCTTCGAATGAGCATACCTCATCTATCAGTGTTAAAGCAAGAGGTCTTGTGATCGCTCATCTCAATATTCGCAGTTTGTATGGAAAGCTCGACCAACTGAAGCTCATTACAAATAATTGCAAGAAGGTTGATGTTTTGACTCTATCGGAAACGTGGCTCAACGATAGTATTGACGATCAGGAGGTGAATATACCGGGATACTATTGTATTAGGCGGGACCGAGAAGGCAAAACTGGTGGTGGAGTAGCGATTTATTGTCGCGAAGGTTTATCGCATACAGTGCGGAATGATCTGAACAATGATAATGAATCCGTGTGGCTACAAGTGAACAGGCTGAGATGCAAACCGCTTATTATTGGTTGTATTTATCGCCCCCCACATCAGCAAGTAGACAACTTTCTGGATAATTTAAACGACTCACTGTCTGGACTCGATTCTAACTTTGATAAAGTGGTTCTTGGTGATTTCAATGTTGATTATTCTTCTCACAGCAGAAATGCAAATTCACATCTGAAACGGAATCTCCAGGGAATCGCTCAACTTTACGATCTCAAACAATTGATAAAGTCACCGACGCGCGTCACCGAACACTCTGGAACTCTGATTGACTTGGTGTTTACTAATACTAAAGATAAAATAGTCGATTCTGGAGTTATTGACCTAGGGTTAAGTGACCACTCTCTTGTATATTGTGTTCTGAAGTCAGGTTTAATTCGAGCTCCACCGAAGATAATTGAATTTCGCTCTTTCAGGAATTATAATAAACAATCCTTTATCACAGATCTACAACAAGTACCCTGGCATATTGTATTTAATGATACTGAAAGTATTGATGATTGCGTCAACATTTGGAATAAACTGTTCCTGGACGTCGCCGAGACACATGCACCTACTAAAACTCGTCGCGTTAGAGGATCTTCGAATCCCTGGATGACTTCGAGCATTGCAACTCTAATGAGAGATCGTGACTATCATCTAAAGAAAGCCAAGGGAAACAAGAGCGGCCAGCATTGGCGAGTTTATCGCGAGCTCAGGAACAGAGTCCATCGCAGTATCAAGAAAGCAAAATCTGAGTACTACACTAATTTGATTGAAGACTGTAAAGGCAATGCTACAGAGTTTTGGTCCGCATTGAAGGAGACCTTGCCATCATCTAGAGCCTCTAGTGGTATTACAAGTCTCTCAACGGACGGAGTTGTTATGACTTCTGCCCACTCTATTGCCTCTGCACTAAACTCCTTTTTTGTCAGTGTTGGAAAGAAGCTTGCTGAGAGGATCTCTCCTCTGAGTACCGTTTACGATGTCACTTCAACTGCAACTAGTTGTGTGTTCTCTTTCCAGTCAATTTCTGAGGAATTTGTTGTGAATTCGATCAAGCAATTGAAACCAAACAAGGCTATTGGCTTGGACAAGATCAGTGCTCGTCTACTTAAAGACTCTGTTGAGGTCATCGCTCCCGTATTGACTAGTCTGTTCAACATGTCTCTTGAGACTAGTGCTTTTCCTTCTATTTGGAAAAGCGCTAGGGTTGTACCTCTATTCAAGAAAGGAAGTAAGCAAGACCCCTCTAACTACAGACCTATTTCCATCTTACCAACACTTAGCAAGATTCTTGAGAAGGCTGTCCATTCTCAGTTCTATTCTTACCTTTCCGAGAACAATTTACTATCCCTGAACCAGTTTGGATTCAGATTCAAATCATCCACTGTTACTGCTGCTGCTAAGTTTACTGATCAGATTCTTCATGGTATGGATGACGGATTAATAACTGGGGTTGCTTTTCTTGATTTGACAAAGGCGTTTGACACTGTCAACCATTCAATCCTACTGCGCAAGATTTCCAACATTGGTGTCGATGGTACAGCTAGGGACTGGTTTGACTCCTTCCTGTCCAACAGGAGTCAGGTAACCTGCTGCAACAACAAGCAATCAGATCCAGCGTCCATCTCCATCGGTGTTGCCCAGGGGTCTATATTAGGACCATTACTATTTATAATTTATATGAATGATCTATCTGATGTACTGGAATTCTGCAATGTATCTTTATATGCCGACGACACAGTTTTGTACTTTGCATCTAAATCTATATCTGAAATTGAGTCCAAGATAAATTCTGATCTTAGCCGTGTCTGTTGCTGGATGCGAGCTAACCAACTTACACTAAATGTTACTAAATCTAAGTTTATGTTGATTGGTAGTAATGCACGCCTCAATAAGGTAAACTCGATAACTATATCTTCTGACGGCAACCTTCTAGAAGAGGTACAGTCCTTTTTATATCTGGGATTAGTCATCAACAAGAATCTGACGTGGGAAGACCACATAGAACATATACGCCGTAAGATAAATAAGAAATTAGGCCTTTTAAGGCGTATTAAGTCATGTTTGCCACTCAGCGCTAGGATTACGTTTTTTAACAGTTTTGTTTTACCGCTTTTTGACTATGGTGACGTTATTTGGGGAGATAGGAGTAATGCTACCCTCATGTCCGAGCTTCAAGTTTTGCATAATAAGGCTGCACGCTTAATATTAGATCTTCCACCGAGCGCTTCCGCAAGTGACGCGCTTGCGAAACTTCACTGGAAGTTGCTGCAGCGCCGCAGGGCTGAGCATCGCGCCATCTTTATGTATAAATCTAT